ACTAGAAAGCGATGAAAAACACAAAGGGAAATCAGAACTCAAAGTTCGGATATCGCCTCCGAAGCTCGGCCTCCTTCTCCCAAGTCGCTTCTGTCTCGTCATGTCGGCTCCAAAGCACCTTCACCAAGCTCACTGCCCGGTTCCTCAACTGATGGACCTTCTGGTCCAAAATAGCTACCGGTACCTCCTCGTAGGTAAGGTCTCGCTCGACCTGCAGTTTGCCGAAGTCCACCACATGACCGGGATCATGCACGTATCTCCGCAACATCGAGACGAGAAACACGTCATGTACGCCCGACAAGCTAGGTGATAAAGCCAGCCGATAAGCCAAGTTCCCGACTCGAGCAAGGATCTCGAATGGCCCAATATAACGCGGTTTAAGCTTCCCCCTCTTCCCGAAGCGAATCACACCATTCATGGGCGAGACCTTCAGGAAGACATGATCTCCAACGGCATACTCGTGCTCATCCCTCTTTCGGTCGGCATAGACTTTCTGCCTCTCTTGGGCTGACCGGATATGCTTCCGGATGGCCTCAACTGTCTCCGCAGCTCTAAGAATGAACTCTGGACCCATGATCGTCCTCTCCCCGACCTCATCCCAGTACAAGGGTGTTTGGACCTTACGTCCATACAAAGCCTCGAACGGGACCATCTTGATCGTGGAGTGGTAGCTATTGTTGTAAATCAGCTCGACCAAAGGCAAGGGACTCTCCCAGGTTAGGCTACGGTCCAAGACCACAACCCTCAATATGTCCTCCAAGTACTGGATCGTCCGCTCCGACTGACCATCTGTCTGAGGATGAAAAGTTGTACTGAACTCCAGCCTCGTCCCCATGGCTCGTTGCAGGGTCTTCCAGAACTGACAAGTGAACTTCGCGTCTCGATCAGACACGATCTCCACTGGAACTCCATGAAGTTTAAGAATCTCATCCACGAACAACTCGGCATACTGACTAGCCTTCAATGTCGTCCGGACTGGCAGAAAGTGGGCAGACTTCGTAAGGCGATCCACAATCACCCAAATAGAGTCATGCCCGGTCCTCGACCTCGGCAATCCCACCAAGAAATCCATGGTGATGCACTCCCACTTCCACAAGGGAATCTAAAGTGGCTGCAACTTCCCTCTCGGCTTCTGATGCTCAGCCTTCACTTGCTGACATACAAGACACCCATTCACGAACCTTGCCACTTGCCACTTCATACCTCGCCACCAGAAAGACTTCCTCAAGTCCTGATACATTTTCGAACTACCAGGATGGACGGTGTACGGGGCACTATGGGCCTCTCTCAAAATCTCCCTTCGCAATTCCCACACCTTTGGAACACAAAGTCTACCCTCGAAGACCAAGGCCCCATCAGGTGCGACTGCGAATCCTCTAACTCTACCGGCTTCCGACAACTCCTTCAACCGACAAAGGAAACGATCATTCAGTTGCTCGGCGACAATACTCTCACGAAGAGTCGGTCCCACAACCAAAGAGGTCAACATACCCCTGGCTGTTGAAGGCGGCTCCACTGCCTCTAGCTGTAGTTGCTCGAACTCCCGAAGAAGGACATCTTGCTCGGTAAAAAGACAAGATAACTGGCCATAACTCCTTCGACTAAGGGCATCGGCTACCACATTAGCTTTCCCAGGATGGTAGCTAATCATGCAATCGTAGTCCTTGACCAGTTCCAACCACCTACGCTGTCGCATATTCAGCTCCCTCTGAGTGAAAATGTACTTTAAGCTCTTGTTGTCGGTAAATATCTCACACTTGGCTCCATAGAGGTAGTGCCGCCAAATCTTCAAGGCATGAACAACTGCAGCTAACTCAAGATCGTGAGTGGGGTAGTTCTGCTCGTGAGGCTTCAGCTGCCTCGAAGCATAGGCTACGACCCTCCCCTGCTGCATAAGGACACATTCCAATCCCATCTTCGAAGCATCACTATAGATGGTGAACTCCAACGTAGTCGGGAATGGATAGAACGGGCGCAGTAGTGAGTCTCCGCTTCAACTCCTGGAAACTCTCCTCACACTTTTGACTCCAATCGAACCTCACGGCCTTCTTCGTAAGGTTGGTTAGCGGTTGGGCTATCTTCGAGAAGCCCTCGATAAACCTCCGGTAGTATCCTGCTAACCCCAGAAAACTACGAACATCAGCGGCACTTCTTGGCGTATCCCACTTGCTCACTGCCTCTATCTTGTTGGGATCCACCTCAATGCCTCTCGCTGTCACAATGTGGCCAAGGAATGCCACACGATCTAGCCAAAACTCGCACTTCGAGAACTTAGCATATAGCTTCTCGCGGCAAAGAGTCTCCAGCACAATCCTCAGATGCTCCTTGTGCTGGTCGATGCTCCGAGAATAAACCAAGATGTCGTCGATGAACACGATAACAAACTGGTTCAGGAAGGGATGAAATACCCTATTCATAAGGTCCATAAACACGGTCGGGGCATTGCTGAGTCTGAATGGCATGACTACGAACTCATAGTGGCCATAACGGGTACGGAAGGCAGTCTTAGAAATATCCGACTCCCGAATCTTCAACTGATGATAGCCAGAACGCAAGTCGATCTTCGAAAATACACTGGCTCCTCTGAACTGGTCGAAGAGATCCTCAATGCGAGGAAGGGGATACTTGTTCTTGACTGTAAGGGCATTCAACTCTCGATAGTCAATACACATGCGCATCGATCCGTCTTTCTTCTTCACGAATAGGACGGGCGCTCCCCACGACGAAACACTCGGACGAATGAAACCAAGATTGAGCAACTCCTGGATCTAGGCCTTGAGCTCTTGAAGCTCCTTCAGTGCCATACGATAAGGGGCCTTAGAAACAGGGCCGGCTCCTGGTACTAGATCAATGGTGAACTCCACTTGGCGGTCGGGCGGTCCTCCGGGCAATTCATCAGGAAAGACATCAAGATACTCGCAGACAATAGAGACTCTCTCCGGGGACCTCTCAGAATCGTCCTCGGATATCATAGAAACTAGATAGCCTTGACAGCTACCCTTTGAAAGGCTCTTCCTAGCTTGCATAGAAGAGATGACTCGAGGCACAGTCCTCGACTTCATCCCATAGAAAATGACAGGCTGATCAGAAACAGGGAAGAGACTGACTTCGCGCTCCTGGCACCGGATGTCGGCTCGATAGAGAGTGAGCCAGTCCATGCCCAAGATCACAGTGAAGTCTCACATTTCAATAACATAGCAGTTGGCCTCCAAAACACACCCACCAATACTAACTGGAAGACCATGAATCAAAGAATCGGAGATGATAATTTTTCCCGAGGCTAGACTAACCTCGAGAGGATCATAGTTGCACACATTATCAATAGACAGGGCCTCCAAGCATCGAGAGGAGATAAAGGAATGAGTAGCTCCAGTGTCACATAATGCAAAGATAGGCACATTAATAAAAGAAGTCTAGAGTTCGACACTAGAGTTCGCATTTAAAGGTGGATCAGTCCTAACCCCGATTTTATTCCAATAATCAATAGTCAAATAATATGCAATAATCTCAAAGTTATTCAGGTACTCATACCTGAGTTGGCGCGGCACGACGAGAGCGAGTGGTCTTAACATGAATTCGAAACACATAATCACATAATCAACTTTTTATACTTAAACAGTCTACAGAAACGAATACTGGCTCTGATACCAAACTGTAACGCCCCACTTTTATTTACCGAAAATCAGAATAAATTTTTCGAATTTATTTTGTTAATACCCAATTTTGGCCTCGCCTATTAAAATATTACACGTGGATATATATTATATCAATTGTTTTATTTTATGGCCCACAAAGAACACCGCTTGTAATAATAACGGGCCCACCAAAAATATATATATAAACCCCAATGATGGACGTCAGATAGATAAGTCTGAGGGGCTATTATTATTTTTCTCTCTCCGAAAAAGTTCTTCTTCCTCTTGCTTTTTTTTTTCTTCAAGATTTCTTCATTTGTACACAAAAAAAATCACAGAAATTTCATATAAACACAATTTCCCGAATACCTCATGTTGATACAAAATCGCATATCAACAGTTTGGCGCTAGAGAAAGGGCTTCGTAATTTATTCGAGGTAATTCTCCGCTTTGTGGAACACCACGCACGCTACCAATTTTTGATTCAGATTCGAGGTAAATCAGATGAAATTTTCCTTTTCCTAGCCAATTCCCTTTGTTCTTTCTCAAAAAACATCTCAGAAAACAAATGTCCACTTTGCTATCGATGTCGATGATGTTCTGTGGAACAAAAAAAAGAAACGATCGAGTTGCAAAAAGATGAGAACACAAATACAAATTGAAGAGGAGGATCAGTTGCCAAAAAGAAATAGAGAGAAAGAACATTTTTCCTTTGAAGAAGAATATGCCACGTCGCCGTTACGTGCTGTTTCTTTTTCTTTTCGTGCTGTTTCTTTTTCTTTTCGTGACCAAGGATAGGCCACGTAGCTTATTTTCACTTTTTCCTTCAAAAAAAAAAAAAAAAAAAAGGGGGGGATTTTCGTCGAGGCGGAATATCTCAAAGAAATCCAAACCATCCCAGATCTAAAAAAAAATAAAATAAAATCCTATACATCTGCTCATACAAAGATCTCTCATATCCGACACCTACCCATTCAAATAACCCAAAAATTCCAAATCCCTTGCTACAACACTTGCAGACAAACAATAAAACCACAAATGAAATTGATTTGTGTTTGTGTCGGAATTCATATCGATAGCGTGAAGCTCGACGTGAAACGGACTCTGGCCTTCTACCTGCAATAACTACTACCTCAAGCGGGGTGAACCACTGGAAATTAAGAGCACAACGGCGTTTTGGCCACGACGAGCACGAAATTTATGCAACTAGTTGTATGAAGACTAGAAGTTTGCAATTGTGGGCCGACTTCAACGCTTTTCTAACGCTAACGAATTCGCAACTACTTACCCCGAACTTGCAGTTGGGCCCACTTCCTTGACGGTCGTGATCGACATCGCAACAACTGGCACCCCAATCAATGAAACCGAGCTGCAACACCTGGCCTCACCAGACTTCACTTCCTCCAGCCGACTGCCGAGATGCCCGACTCGGTTGGGGCCGACCTCATCAAAAATTGAGTGTACCAACCGACTTTGTTATTCCCGATATCTTCATCACCGACCTCAGCCCATCGGTTCCTATTTTACCACGGAAAAGTCCAAAACCGAAGTCCGGGACCACCAACCTCACCATTGAGCTGAACGGATTCTACCGGGGCCTGATTTTACTCAGACCGACCTCGGGATAATTCAACGATTCAACCTCACAAGGGTCGTTTTCAAGCCCAAGTACAGCCGGGACCTTCGTTTATCTCCGACGTCGACCTCGGACGGCAGGCTGATTCCACCATCTCGTGCCGTCGGAGACTCACATCCTTCACTGTCGAGATCAAGCTGTATGACTTAGCGGGGCAAACACACTACAAGTCAAGACGACAGGGTCTACCTCTTAACAAATCATCGGCGCCGACCTCACTGTAGACTGTAACCCAACTTCGACGTCACCGGTCTCCGATCTCTCCATCGTTGGAGCTGACCTCGAAACACCCGAAAAGCTTGAAACACAACATCGGTCACCAGGGCCTTCCACAACCGACGTGACTTCCAATCGACCTCGGCACCTCCGACTTCACAGGTCACCGGAGCCCGACCTCACTCTTCCGACTTCAATATTCACCAGCATCACAACTCGGTTTCCACTACGCCATCCGGGCCGAGCCCAGATTTCCACGTAACAGATTACGAGAGCTCGTACTTTCCAATCGCAGAAGGAATAACTTCAATTCACGGCAGGGCCCAAGTTCGGATCTCCAAAACACGACCGACCTCCAAAATATTGTCTACAGGCCGACTTCTACAGCATCTAGCTCGATCTCCGAAACACGACTGGCCCAACCTCGCATCAATAGGACCCCGACATCTCCAACTTTAACATCTCGGGCCGATCTCGAGCCATCTCGTCACCGACTTGAAAAAATCGTCGGAGTTCGGTGACCTCAAGTGACCTCTCCACTGGTCAACTCGCCGAATTTACAGCCGGCCAACTTCTAACCCTCACCACTGACGGCCAGAACCGACGTCACAGTAGACAAAATTGAATTTCTGACCGAACAAACCCGCCGTCGAATTTTTGAAATTGCAGTCAGGCCCGCTTTGATTTTCAAGCCTCGGTGACAAATCGGAGGTCAATTTAATTTTTTCAGATCTGCACGCTGAGACCGAGCTCACGATCTTTGAACCGAGGTCACAACAGACCGAAGTCCGATCTCACTGCCATGGCTGACTTTGCTAACTCCACACTTGCGACCCGACTTTATCTTCTTCGGCCGACTACCAAGATGCCAAACTCATATGGGGCCGACCTCACTCCATCACGGTCCGACAGAATCAACTTCACTTCAACATCACCGGCCGACGTCACCACGAACGCCTCAACCGACCTCAGCGGCAAAATTCAAGCTCCGATCTCGGACTTGTGACCGACCCCCGCGTCACCGCCTAACTTCGTCTGCTATGATCCCTAATCCGAGGTGTACATCTCCGATTGCGGCAATTGAATTTACCATCTCCGCCGATGCTGACCCACGACTCGCCAATAATTGTCTCTGGCGCTCAAATCTCTCAGATCCAATTGCCTTTGCGTTTTGGGGACATAAATCCTAACCTGATGAGAAGCATTGCTTTTATTATTCAGTCTATTGGGCCTAAAAGGTTTAACAAGAAAGAACATGTGGGCTGCAGATTTAAATTGTCAGAAAAAGAAACTAGATTCATTTGTCAATAGCTGGGACCGAGCTTATTTACCGACGTCGGGGCCGCCAAATCCATCTATTCCGAGACCGATTTCATTTTTTTTTTTATGTGGGAGCTGACTTTACTCGTTTGTGAAGAAGCTAAATTCACTTACATGTACCGGGGCCGAGTCCTTTTATCAATGTTGGGGTCAAGTTTTGTTTATACCGACGAAAGCCGTGGCCGAGATTATTTATTTGAATTGGCGACAACCGTGGCCTAGCTCATTCACTCCAAGCTAAGTTAATTATTAAAGCGGGGGCCGAATTCCTATATATATGCTGGAGTTGGGGTCATTGATTTACGCTCGGAACCATCCCGACCTATTCATTCACGCCGAGGCCAATGATTTCTTTACGACGTCACTACTTCCTCGCCGTTGAGTCTCGACTCCGGCTGAGCCGACGCCCCTATTTTGCTCGCCGTAGGGCATCGACTCCGGTTGAACCGACGTCCTTATTTTGCTCGCCGTAGAGCATCGACTCCGGCTGAGCCGACGTCCTTATTTTGCTCGCCGTAGAGCATCGACTCCGGCTGAGCCGACGTCCCTATTTTGCTCGCCGTAGAGCATCAACTCCGGCTGAGCCGACGTCTCTATATCCGCTCGCCGTTGAGCCTCGACTCCGGCTGAGACGACGTCCACATTTCCTCGCCGTTGAGCTTCGACTCCAGCTGAGCTGACATCTTTATTTTTCTCGCCGTTGAGCCTCGACTCCGGCTGAGACGCCTTCCTTATTTTCCCGCCGTTGAGCCTCGACTCCGGCTGAGCGGAAGTCTATATTTTCCTACGTTGAGCCTCTGCTCCGTATTGTCCTACCGTCGAGCCCCTGCTCCGGCTGCAAAAATGAATTATCACAAAAAATAAAAATCCGAGCAACAGCTCGGTACCGATGTAAGCATAGCGACACTCGGTCTCGCTGATACCCCGTAATACATCCAAATCCCACGCATGGTTTGGTTGGGGTTGAAGCTCGTCCACGTCACTTCAGCTAACATGATTTGACGGGTCCCGATAATTGTCGAAACATGAACACCTCGGCTGGGGCCACTCCATAATCGGACTCTGACGAAGTTCGGTGAACCCTATTTATTTTATGTACGGCATTGCATGTGTTATGTTCGGCAAACTCTTAAGTTTGCAATACCGACTTACGCTATTGCCGAATTCATTAAGAAGATCATTCAACGTGGAACTCGGATTTCTATATATGTACCGAGTTCATTACACGATCTAGAAATTGCTGAATTTCATACAGCAAAATTGGTTATACACTTGACTGCAGCATATGTCGGTTCTCCATAATCCCGACCGTCCATCATATATATGATCATGCCGGCGAAGCATAACACCTGCTGGCAGAATATGTCAGACTCGACAAAATACCGAGGTATCTTTCTTTCTCGCACTACGCATCAGCATACTCCATAATGCATTCATACATTCATACGCGCGGCATACATACATTCATTACATATGCGCATCAGACATACATCTTGACGTCCAAATCAAAAGAATACAATAAACCAAACGCCTTCATCTGTTTGGACCCACACTGGTTAGGCAAAGTCAATAAGACCTTCCCGGCTGGGGAATATGCGAAAGAAAAATTCATTACACCGAGTTCTTCAGCTCGGTATGATAAAGCCTTTACTTACACCAAGTTATTCAACTTGGTAAGGGTGATACCCATGCCTTTACCAAACTCTTCAGTTCGGTAGATAAATTTTTATTTTATTTTTACCAAGTTCTTCAGCTTGGTAGGCTAAAAAGTCCGTTCGTAACCGAGTTCTTCAACTCGGTGGGCAAATATATCATATCGATAACATCTTTGCATAAAGATCGATAGCAATACAAAGGGCCCGAGTGCCCGCACCAGCTCAAAATCTATACTATTATCATCATTACAGACGCAAAATCATCCAACGCGTCCTATTACACACGAAAATCGGGTACCGAATTACCCTACCAGGCCAACCAGGCCCCATTCATATGTCATTTTCACATAGTTGACAATCCACGCAGTCAACTCCACTCGTCAGAACAAAAATATGATTACCGTCAATGCGACAGGCCAAAGCCTAAGCACGGCCAGAAATTTGACTCCACGGGTCCCAAAGTACCCGGCCAACATCGATACATTATTTATCACAGCAAAATTGGCTATACACGTGACTTCAGAACATTTCTATTCAGAACATGTCCTAAAGTCAGGGGCCTACTGTTAATACCCAATTTTGGCCTCGCCTATTAAAATATTACACGTGGATATATATTATATCAATTGTTTTATTTTATGGCCCACAAAGAACACCGCTTGTAATAATAACGGGCCCACCAAAAATATATATATAAACCCCAATGATGGACGTCAGATAGATAAGTCTGAGGGGCTATTATTATTTTTCTCTCTCCGAAAAAGTTCTTCTTCCTCTTGCTTTTTTTTTTTCTTCAAGATTTCTTCATTTGTACACAAAAAAAATCACAGAAATTTCATATAAACACAATTTCCCGAATACCCCATGTTGATACAAAATCGCATATCAACATATTTCAAAAACAATAATCGAGGCGCTACTCATTTTCAAATCAATAATCAATACTCGACATTTTATCGATACTCATAATCAATAATAAAATCCCAATAATCAATCAATAATCCAATAATGATCCTAGGGAAATAATCCCTATCAATAATCCAATATTAGAAAAACAATAGTCAATAATAATGCAATAATATCCAAGTTCCATTAAAAGCGGAAGCATTTATTCAAATTAAAGACCACCACTCGCATCCCCTCCGTCGTGTCGCTCTATCTAACCTGCATCCATGAAGAGCAGGTGGGGATGAGCACAATAGTAAACAGTAGTGCTAACCGCTATGCCATAAATATTAATATCAATAATCAACAGTAATCAATAGTCAAAAGGTATGGTCTCAGCATGTATACGAAACAATAATCTATCCCATTCTCTCATCAATAATCACAATAATCAGACTCATGTGCACACCTACGCATAGACTACTGCTGACTATATATTGAATGCCCTCCGGGCCTACATCGAGTGCCAGCCAGTAGGAGTAAATCACCCCACCAGTCAAGGCCTTGCCTTGGACTTACCAATGAGGATCACCGGCCGAGGGACCTGAGCCCTGGTCTTACGGCTTCTCAAGGGAGACTACCCGAAGGTACGTTCTATAGCTACGGGGAAAAACCGTTCGGTGGCCGATACAGCTCACACCGAAGGCTACATGATTCACATGCATACCTTGATCATACCATAATTAAAACAGTAATAACATTTAAGGCATAGTAATTTTTACAATTACAACCCACCTGGATAGCTCGGTAGAAAATTGCACACAAGAGCAAGTACGTAGGATGAGGCACGACTCCTCAAACACCTACATTTAAGCGAGATATTTTATCAATAATTTATCTCACTACTCAATTTAACATAAAACCCATACTTAATAAAAATTAAGTCTTAAGGGTTTTAATCGGATTTTTCGTGGACTTGGAACTCTCTCAATTTTGAAAAATATGACTCGGAGAAGTAAATTGGGGTCTCGGAACTTAAAATAATTTTTCCCAAAATTTTTCTACTTTGAAAATAATATTTAAAATTTAAATCGGTATTAAAACGGGCTCCGTAACACAAAATTAAAGCTAAAAACTAGTTGGGCCGCGCTGCGAATCTACTGGCACTGAAATGGGCCCATACGCGAACTTGGGCCGCCAATTAGACAAGCCAAGAGCCGCATAGGCATGCTACACAGAAAATTGGGCTCGCGGGCCGGATATGGGCTCGCGGGCCAGGCTGCTGACCCGATAACGGGCCGCGCGTGGGCCGAAGTTCGGGCCAGAAAGCCCGCGCGCTGGCTGCTCTATTTTTAAAAAAAAAATAGCTACATTTCGCAAGCGCTGGGAATAGAACTCGCTACCTCGCGCACGGAATCAAGGCTCATGACCACTGCGCTACGCGCTCTCTTTGCGATTGAACTTACAGACTTAACAACATAAATTTTTGAACAAAACTGCTACTGAACCAAAATAAAAACTGCGAACTGAGAGGCCAAATAGCAGATTAAAACACAATTGTCAGGCTGAAAGTTTCCAGCAAAATTTTCACAGAAGTTTACTCAACATATAATGACCTTTCCAGAGTTCGAAAAACTTACGAAAAAGGGGTTTGTTCGGAATAGGAAATGACACTTATTTGTTCGAAACAATCAAGCGACATCACGACTACGACACGGCTCCAATCAATAAAAACGGAACTCTGAAATTTAAAATGAATTTGCCAAACAAAAGATTCAAGACTTGTACAATTTGATGTCTCATACACATATAGAATTTCGAAAAGTTATAAGAACCGGGTTCGAGCAACACGTAACCGGCCTGGACAATTTTGCATATACGAGCGATGAATATAACTACTCGGAAGAATTTAACGAGACTCCAAATCTACCATCAATTTGCAGCAAATAAAAAAAGACTCGATTTAACTAAGTCGAGAGTTTCGAAAATCCACGACAATTTCACGAACATAATCCGACAAATCGAACGAGTAAACAAGCCGACAATGAATTCAACACGAAAGCCAACGAAACAATTCAACACGTACGAAAATGAATGAGCGATATCAGTCTGTATAACAATATACGAGGAGATTCGAAGAGATTTACCCGTCTTCAGGAATCTCGAAAAGACGGGTCGGACGAATGGACCTCGAACACTCAAACGGGACTCGGGCTTCGGAGTTCGAAAATCTCGCTGAACAGCTGCTCGTGAACTAAATCTGACCTCGATGACGGACGCGACCTGAACTCCGTTGCGGGCGTAACAGAGCTGCCGGAAGGTGGTCTCGTCGGAGAAAGGGGATCGCAACGGGACGGCGACTGGCTCACGAACGGACGCCGGGAGTAGGTGCTGCAACGGGGCACGGTGGTAATCGCCGGCGACAATTGCGAGGAGGCTTATTGGCGGAGCAGGTACCAAAAATCAATTTTTATTTGCGAGAGAATTGAGGGATTGAGGGTACTGATCGAGGTCGTACGATATAAGTAGAGGATGATGAGCGATCAGTTCGAAAGGGGTGATGAGCGAGTTTTGCGTGATCGTGCCGAACATCTCCCTCAAGATCGCTACTTGAATTTTGAATTGCAGGACCTATTTTCTTGCGGAAAAGAGAACGGAGAAGAGGGACGCACGTGGGGGAAAAGAAAATAAGGTTGCAGACTTGGTTTTAATGGACCAAGAAAAGAAATTTTTTTGGGCCTAAGGATCTAATCCATTTGGGCTAGAAAATATAATTCAATTATGCCAAACAAATTAATCATAGAATTTGGGCTGGAAATATGGTATCAAATTGGGCCAATTATATCTCAATAGCTGAAAACTAAAAGGGCCGGATATTCCAATTTAATCGGGTCGAAAAAAAAATACAACACGACAACGGGAATTCTCGATCGATTCGTTAGACGACGATAAACAAATACACGACTTATAATACATATATCACACAATATTTATTAATAAATCATTTAGACAATTAATATTAATAATAGTAATATTACTAATAACAATTAAATAATAGCAAATTGACATTTAATAGCAATAATAATAATAATAAATATAATAATAATAATAAAAATAGAGACAAATTAATAATAGCAATAATCAATAATTACTCCCAAATAATCCACAATAAAACGGGGTATTACAGATACATCGTGAGTAATCTGCCTTAACTCATGATAAAGTACGAGTACCCTGACAGCGAAGTCGGAGTACTTGAATTTTGTAGATGGATTAGGGTCGCAAAACACCAGGGAATTTCCAATCTTCGTGAACATATCAACACCAGGAGATGTAACAGTTGATGAGGAATGAACCGTAACTACTGGATGCGGGTGGTGCAGGTGTACTGCGTGTTGGTTCCGCGGACAAGCGTGCCACGCTCGGTGATGAATCTCGAGTTGTAGGAAGTGTCGTGCGTAGTGTGCCGCAAGTAGCATGTCGCGTTGCCGCATGCCAGGCTAGCCATTCATGCCACAGCTGCCAAGTCTCTAGCGTCTAAATGCGTATCAATTTCGGGAATTTTTCACGTGTATTGCAATGACCTATGTCTTGTTTGGAGGACTATTGAAGTGAAACAACTTTGGAGGTTTTATCTTTAAGAGTTGTTGTAGTCAATTGCAATGTAGTTACCTCATGAGGTGAGGAGCTTCGTGGTAAGAGAAGAGGCTACGGCCTGGTTATATAAGTTCTATTATGACTCTCGACCAAGTCAATGACTTAGCCTGATGGTTGACTCCACCACTGGAGCTCGCGAGGATGCATGACATGTTCTATGCCTCGTGATGGAGAGAACGTGTGCGTGACCTCGAGTTATTTGTGTTTTGTGGCGAGCTGCGTGTTAGGCAGAACCCTACCTGTATGGAAGTACCGGTGACCTTTTGGAACAGAGGGTCCATCAGGAAAATGTCGGAAGGGGGTGTTCGTCAAAATCTAGTGGGAGAAGTCAAGTCGAGGACGAGACGACTTGGAAGAGGGAGACCGAGATTCGGAGGGAGTACCAATTTCATGTTTAATTGTTCCCCTTTGCATTCTAGTACTTTCCGGTTGTTTTGTTCCTGAATTCCGAGGACGAAATTCCTTTTAAGGTGGGTAGACTGTAATGTCTCGTTTATTTATGAATTAATTGGGATTATTTATTATTGCAATGTTAATAATATTATTTCGTTATTTGTCTATATTGTATTATTGCTCGACAATTCTCGTTCAGACTTATATTAATTAATTAGACGTTCTCGTCTAGTTAATTTAATGAGTCATAATATTCTATCAATTGTTTGTCGCCAATCGAATCTATTGGAAATTCTTGATGTTGCGTGGTATTTCTTTCGGCCCAATAGGAATAATCCTGGCATAAACAAATTTTTTTATACCTTTTGTCATTTTACTTTCTGGCCCAACACTTTTATTTATTTTTGGCCCAACTTAAGATATATATTTTTAGCCCAATGAGTTCAATTAAGCAGATAATTGTTTTCCCCTTCTCCTTCTACGGTACGACCAAATCATCTCCCATCTTCTCCGGTTGCGATTTTCACGAGATTCTCAAGGCACGATCTCCCTGCCTCACGATCAAATATCTCTCCAAAGGATAACTTGCTCTCAGAATCGTTCATGACTTTTCTTCTATCACTCTCGCGAATCATTTTAAAAAAATAAAAAATTAAAAAAATCTAGCGCACCTCATTCCGGCGAGCCACCTCCGACCAGCCGCCGTCGACCACCATCCCATGTGCGTAGCTGCCACGAACCGCAGCCGTGAGGAGTGAGCATCGTCTGCTGCCACCGTGACCTGTCATGTCTCAGCCATCGTTAGCCATCGTCGTCTTCGAGCCCTCCATCGGGGCAAAACTTCTACAGCAACCTGTCAGTTATTCGCAGCAGTCCAGATTCGGAGAGCCGTCTCTGTTCGATCATCACAGCAGCCGGAAGTCATCGAGTTCAACAATTCGCGAGCTGCAGCTTCGAGAAGTCCGAGTCCCGTTCATCTATTCGGCCCCGTTCGTCAGTTCGTTTTACAATCGAGCTTCCCGAAGAAAGGTAATCGGCAAACCTTATCGATATATTTCTCGTGTTTGCTCGTTAGATTATATTCGTATCGGTTGAATCGATTTTCGTTAATTGCATTGGTATTAATATTCGATCGTTTATCTTCATTATTTATTTCGTATGTTCGTGGGTTATTCGGGGATGATTGAAACTCTTGATTTCGTAAAAACGAGTATCATAATGTTGTTGTAATTATTTTGGTTCAATTCAGAGTCTCGATATTATTGTTTCGAGTTGTCGTTCTACCGATCGTTTGTTTTTTTTTTAAACCGTGTATTGTCGGTTCAATTTTCGATTCGAAAACCCATTGTCCCGACCCGATGTATTTCGAACTTTAAAAATTATTTTTATTTTTGAAATGTTCTGAAAACACTTTTCGTGTTGAAATTTCGGATGGAAATTCCCTGCCGGAAATTGATTTTCAGTACAGGTCTGTACTCTGTTTTGCTGTTGCCGTCTCTGTTGTTTTTAATTTACCAACAAACTGCCCAGTTTAATTTTAGTAGCCCAAAATGTCATTTAAAGTTGGAAGCAAGCGTGTGGTGCAGTGGTCTTTTGTCCCCTTTCCGTGAGCGAGGTCATGTGTTCGAATCCCAACCCTTGCAGTAGCTATTTTATTTTGCTAGCCTAAATTCTGAAACCANNNGCCCACTTCAGCTCGATCCCCCTCATAGGTGAAGCCCGCGCAAGGCCCTACTCCTGCCCGCGTCCCTGCCCCCTTAGCAGGCTATGCCTTTGGGCCCTTATACTCTCCCAGCGGCCCACTTCTGTGCACTAGTGAGGCCCAGATTCTACCAGCGCGGCCCAAATGGATTTAAGCTAATTTTTGTGTTTCGGAGCTCGTTTTACTTACCTATCTTATTTTTAAAAAAATTATTTTCAAATGAGAAAAATTTGGAAATATTATTTTAAGTCCCGAGACTCCAATTTGGTTATCCGAGTCCTATTTTTCAAAAATGATAGAGTTCCAAGTCTAAGAAAAATCCGATTATATTCCTTAGGCCCTAATTTTGATAAGTGTGGATTTTATGTTAAATTCGAGTAGCGAGATAGATTATTGATGTATTATCTCGCTTAATTGTAGGTGTTTGAGGAGTCGAGCCCTCGACCTACTTTTCTGCTATTTTAGTGTGATATTCTTGTGCGATTTCCAGGTGAGTTTTATTTGAAATTTCCCATGCCGTAAATGTTATTAATGATTGTTGTGGTATGATCAATGTGTGCATGTGAACCATGTAGTCTTCGATGTGAGCTGTACCAACCGTCGAACGGTTTTCCCCTTGATAAGATTCCCCCTAAGACCCACGGTGGGCCATATCAATGTAGTCACATGATGATGCCTTCGATATGTTTTTCGTTGTAAGTCACATGGCGATGCCTTCAAAATGAATGTCGATATAAGTCACATGGATAACTTCGACATGTACTCCTACTGACTGGTTGACGATGTAAGACACATGGCGATGCCTTCAAATAGACTAGCAGTAGCTAATGATAGGTGTGTACACATGAGTCTTGATTATTGATATTATTGATGGGGAATGGGATAGAATATTACTTCGTATACATGCTGAGACCATACTGATTGATCTATGATTATTGTTTTATTATTGTTAATAACATTTACTGCATAATGGTGAGCACTATTGTTTCCTCTTGTGCTCACCCCCTCCTGCTCTTCATGGATGTAGGTTAGTGTTGCGGGCACGCCGGAGGGAAGCGAGTGGTGGTCATATTGATCGTTATTGCTTTCGCCTTGCACTGAATTATTGCTATTATTGCTTTATTGATTACTGGATTGTTGATAGGGAATGTATTCCCTAGGATTTTATGATTATAGGAACATTTGGATTGGTTTTCGATTATTGAAATGAGTTATTGTTTGGATTATTGATTATTGATAAATGAGCATTGAGGATTTGTTAAAGCATGGATGTTGGTTTTGAAAAATTGAGTAGCGCCTCATGTGATTTAGAAAATCATTTTGTAAAATTTATTTTGATTTTTGGCAAATAAAAGTGGGGCGTTATAGTTTGGTATCAGAGCTAGTCAGCGTTTTTGTAGACTGGTTAATGTGAATTATGTGATTATGTGCTTTGTCTTAAGCTATGACCACTCGCTCTCGTCGTGCCGAGCCAGCTTAGGTATGAGTACCTGAATGACTTTGAGATTACTGTGATGTGCTTGATTATTAAATATTGATAAGAAATCGGGGTTAGGACTTATCCACCTTTAAAATGTGAACTCTAGTGTCGAACTCTAGACTTCTTTTATTATTGTGCTAAACTCTTTCGGCCCGTTCTCAATGTAGAATTATGGCTCGCCAAACCCGCAGCGGCCAGCCGTATC